TTTTTACATAAATTTTTTTTTTTTTTTTTTTTTGAAGGTTCGATTCATCATTCATCTTTGAAAAGGAATATATATATTTATTTATTTATTATTATTTTTTTAAAAGTTGGATTCATCATACATCTTTATTTGTATATCTATATTTTTTTACTCAAAAAATGCTCGCTTCATGGCTGTCTCATTTTCAAAGCTGCATCTAAATGAAATAATTGTCAAATTCAAGATGCAAACAAATCTCAGCTTATTATAAAAATTCCAATCAGTACTTGGAAAATTTTCAACCCTGAAAAACAATTTGAATTTGCAGATATCACCTTCGACTGAAAATTATTGCACAATCAAACAAGATAATTAGAAACCCCCTTCCAAAGAATACAAGATTTATCGAAAGATCCAGCCATTCTGCACCTTCAAATTCCGTCCTCCCAACCTGTGCGAAAAGTGCAGTTAAGTAGTTTAAATAATGCACTTCTGAGATATGCAGTCCATTCTTAAGGATTCAAATGTACTTTATACTTGACAATACACTAAGGTGTGATTTCGCGGGGAGAGCTCCTGGACTCACGGGGTGGCGTTTGGCTGTCGGATCCTTTGAGATGATCATCTGACGAATGTTGCATCCCATCATCAGTGCTCCCCCTTTTCATATCCTCGATCATTCTCACGACTTCATGCATTGCTGGCCTTTGATCCGGAACAGATGCAACACAAGCCATTCCAATCTGAAGAAGTTGCACCATCTCTTCTTCCACATTCTGATACCTCATTAGCTCAATATCAAACACCTCGGCTGTCCATTCCTCCCGCACTACACTCTGTACCCATCTAGGCAAATCTATCCCTTCTTCACCTAATGAAGCTTGATTTGGTGATTTGCCAGTTAAGAGCTCTAATAATAATACTCCAAAGCTGTAGACATCGGATTTAAATGTGACTTTATGGGTTTCGAGCACCTCAGGAGCACGATAGCCCATAACGCGATGATTGGGTGGGGTTGAGCTCGAGAAGAACTGGTTGAGCCCAAAATCTGATACACAAGCATCGCGGTTTTCTAGCCTGAGGAGGATGTTAGATGACTTGATGTTGCCATGGACTACTTTACCAGATACATGCAAGTACGCGAGGCATCTTGCTGTACTCAATGCTATTCTCATTCTGTTGTCCCAGTCTAGTGGGGTGTGCCCCGAGCCTCGACTACCTATCGAACAATAGAAAAACTCTTACCTTCACTAGTACCATTGACAAATGATAAATGGACAAAAACCCGTGCATGTGTTGTCTTGTAAAAAATGAAAGGGCAATTCTTTGGCCGAAAAGATTGACTCAAGCAAGACAATGCAAACATTTACTAAACATACGAATAAGAGGATGCTACATTTTTGTGTGTTGTGAATTCTTAGCTGTGAAACTATTCACTGTTCAATCCAATTGATTTAAACATTATTTTTTATTTTTTAAGGTTAGACAAACATTGGATTTTTTATTTGTTCATCAATAAAGAGGAGAAAAAAGCATGTCGGTAGAGAATAATTGGAATCTGTTGAAATATATATTCTCATCATTTAATTATTCAGATTTCAATATTTAATATCAAAATTTGAATAAATTATCAAGTTCATGGTTTTGAGGAGAAAATTATTCAGCTCTCTCTCTGTTAACTTCACATGAATGTTAAGCCAATACAAGATTGATTTCTGTAAATTCAATAGCTTTATTTAGCATTAAAACAGAGGGAGGAGAAGCGGATAACACAGAATTCATTGTGAAAGGGCAAATTAAATAAAAGAAATTGAATATACAGAAAGAAATTATCAAGAAAACAGAGAGAAAATGAAAAATCAGGAAAGAAGAAGAATAAGAGTACCATACCATGAAGAAGAGCAGATAAGCTACCAGCAGGCATATAGTCAAAGACCAACAATTTTTCATCTCTAGAATAGTAAAAAGCTGTTATTGCCAACACATTTTCATGCTTAATCTTCCCCAAAACTTCCATTTGCTGTTCGAATTCATTCTTTGTAGCCACCACATCTTTTAGCCTCTTCACCACAACAATGCTGCCTTCTTCTAACACCGCCTTATAACTAGTACCAACACTCCCTTTTCCTAATACCTCTGCTGAAGCCCTCAACAAATCCTCCAGATCGAAACTATAAGCCCCCGCATTCAAGAATACGAGTTTATTCCTCTCAACTTCTGCTGAACCACCAGCTATGTCGTCTTTGGACGACGATGTATCGGCTTCTCCTGCTGCTGCCGCGGCTGCTGGTGGTGGTGGTGGTTTCTGCACTTTGGTTGAGTCTCTTTGTCTTTGCCTTCTACCAAGGCAAATGCAGAGGAGGACTACAAGTACAAGTAGTAATCCCAGTGCTGCACCTATTGATATTCCTATAATTGCAGCAGTAGAAAGCTTTTTGGATTTCTTGTGGGGTGGCGCTGAAGGAGCCGGAGAAGGTGGAGAGAAAAATGGGTTGCACGGTCGCAATGGTCCACCGCATAAATCAATGTTACCGGCGAAAGCCGATGAAGGGAATTTTGACAGTGCACGAGGAATTGAACCATTCAAGCGATTGTTCGAGACATTGAAATTCACCAGGCCTGGTGGATTAATGCTCGGAAGCGTACCGTTGAAGCCATTGTTCTCGAGGAAAATGCCTGTCAACTGGGTTAGATTGTTAACGGCGATAGGGATTGGGCCAGTGAAGTTGTTTGAAGAGAGGTCCAGCCGGGTCAGCCGAGACAACGTGGTTACACTCTCCGGAAACTCGCCGGAGAACTGGTTGTTCTGGAGATAGATGCTCCGTAGGTGCTCGAGTTTGGAAAAATCCGGAGGAATTGATCCAGTTAGTCCGTTTGAACGAAGACTCAGAACTCGTAGCTGAGTCAAACGACCCAGTGTGTCCGCCGGAATGTCACCGACGAGTCCCGCACCGGGAAGCCTCAAGTAATAAACAGACGAATTTGTGGGGTCACATTGCACGCCAACCCAGTCGCATGCGGAATCAGATTGGTTCCACAGGAGACGACTTTTGTGTGGAATTTGCGAGAAGAAAGCAAGGAGTGCTTGCTTATCCTGAGTGGGCTCCGAGTTTACTCCGTGATACCCCTGTATAAACACTACGAACACAGCAGAAAATAAACACCCAGATTGTAGAACCCACCCCATTTTTCCTTCCTTGTTGCAGTCAGTATAAAAGACAACCAGATCTTAATAATGAGATTGAAACGGCCGCTTGTGGCAGCGATTTGTAACAGACAAAAAGTTGATTCTCCGTGGAGAACCCATGCGATAAATACTGAGCTTACGTATATTTGAAGAGAAATAGAGAAGACTCATAAGAGACACAGGGAAGATTTCGAAGAATGACGAGTTGGTATCCTAAAGAAAAAAAAAAACTATTTTTCCATTCACCAAATTTTGACTGCTTGGTGCGAATGCATTTAAGTAATTGAAATGACAAATACTGATAAATTGAATTAAAATGAAATTACAACTAGATTATAATTCTTGAAAAGAACGTCGGCAATGAGAAACATGGAAAAGCAAGTTTGTGAAGGACAGTCATCTATCTCGTGTTGTTTGACTCTTTGAATAATGCTGTATATATCAATGGATCATGCTTCTTGTACATCAAAAAGTATATAAGGATGTACATAATGGACACTCGACATCATTTCGTTGGAGGGACTGTCGGCCCCACAGGCACTCCCTCAAATAGGAAGGTGTCGGGTGTCCATCTTATGTACACTTTGATGTACATCTATCATTATCTATATATCAATAGTGTTAGAGCACCAATTCATGCGTCGTTATGTGATAAATTTAATTAAAAAAGAAATTATATGATTCATTTAATTTAGACTGTAATTTATCACATTCTATTGCATGTACTAGTGTTAAATATGAGCTTGTTTGTTAAAGATTAAAATTGGATTAAAATTGAAAAATTAGCCGTTATTATTAACTTTTATTAAAAGAGTAAGATTTAATAACAACTATATTTTCAATTTTAATTAGATTAAAATCTCTCGTAAACAAGTTCTAAAATCCAAATTTTAATTTGATTCGCCTCTAAGAATGAGAAGTATAGGAAAAGAAAGAAAAAGTGATTGCATGGAGAGAATGATGACACATGTTTGATGCTTGCTGTCAACATTAGCTGGAAAGCAAAAGGACAGAAGCTCAATACATTACACACACTGCCTTTTCTTCTAATTCATCTTCACGTCCAATCCTCAAATCCTAATGTTTCCGCCATAACCCACAACATTATGTCACCGTTAACCTTGTATATTTTCAAACCTAGTACAGGCTAACTTATTTATTTTGAGTAATGTTATTTATAATGAATGATTATATTAATTATTTTATGTGATAATTTGTTATTTAGAGACAATAGAATTACAAGAAATTAATGTTTCGATTAACATGCAGATACGTAAAATAATTATTGTAGTCGCTGATTATAAATAGCTAAATACTTTCAAATTTCTATGTTTGTGGTGTCCAATTTCACTTACAAATGTCTATTAAAGACTAGAAATACGAACGATCTTTGGACTTTACTTCGCGTTCCAAAGTCATTCTCTCCCATTATTTTACTACATAGTAAACGAAATATTAACTTAACGTTAAAAATTCCGAAGGTTTGATACTTAAAAAAATAAAAATTTATGTTCCCCACAATGATTCATGGAACGCTAGAAGTTGAATAAAGCCAATTTTTTGAATAATTTGGGGGTTATTAACAATCTAAGGCCCCGTTTGATTTGCCTTTTTTTCTTGGAAGTTTGTTTTTCTTGGAAGTTGGAAACAAAATTTCATTTTCTTGCTTTTGACATGTTTGATAGGTAGTATTTT